GATGAGGACACTGTTCATGTGAGGGAGATGAGCAGCACATCGTCGAACCCAGGAGAAAGGAGGCGTTGGACCAATGGTGACCCCGGTCCGACAGTGTCCAGAATCTACACTAAGAGGTATTTTAGGCATTGGACTGGGCTGATGGGTGGCCGTCGGAATGAACATATAGCAGCGGGCGGCTCCAACATCTGCTTCTAGCATAGTATGGGCATTGCTTCTTCTGTGAGAGTCAGACCAAGGGTCTAGGGTCCCATACCTCCGAGAGGCCGGTTTCGATCCGAGACAGTGGGGAATTGGCCCCAATGGTTATGTTTTTGAGTGGGGTATATATACTTCTCCTACTCATCCAATTCCCTTCTCTTGCCCATTTGTTCAGCTAAGAAACACCTTTGGAGTGCAAGGGAGTGCAAGAGCCTAGTGGGGTGATTGAGATTTGAGAATCCAAGATTAAGGACCTCATTAGTGTATAGGGAGTAGCAAGTGTGCATCCATCTTTCTCATTAGTCTTATCTTGGTCAAGTGAGAGTTTGTGCTTATTACTCTTGGTGATCGCCATCACCTAGATGGATCGGTGGTGATTGGAAGCTTGGTGATCATCCGGCGGAGCTTGTGGATAACCCAAGTCATGGTGCGAGCGGTTGTGGATGATTCACCGCAACCCGTAGAGAGCACTTGATCCTTGCGCGGATCAAGGGGAGCTACACCCTTGCGCGAGTGCTCCAATGAGGATTAGTGGGGAGTGGCGACTCTCCGATACCTTAGAAAAACATTGTCGCGTTCCTCTCCCTCTCTTTACTTTGAGCATTTATATTTGAGCAATTTAATTCTTGTCTTTACATTCTTAGAATTACCATGCTAGAGTAGGATTGGAACCTAGGGTGTAAAACTTTTGTGCGGTAGAACAATAAAAACACTTTTAGGCACAAAGGAGGTGAAATGGGCTAAGTGTAGGACTTAATTATTGCAAGAAATTTAGATTTAACCCAATTCACCTCCATGTTGGGTATCTTAATCGTTTCACTTGCGAACAAAATCTAAATAGTATTTTGGTAGGACCTTTCAACAAAGTTATTCCTAGATTCAGGCTTGCACCACCTATTAACAATTTTTTCTAAGAATGCTCTCTGGGCACTTTTATAGGACCATTGGGCTGCTAAAAATCGAGTCATAAATCATAATTATTGAAGTGTTTGAAACATGGATCTATTGGTCTCAATTTTGTGGATGTAACTCATATATTATTGGACTAGTTATTGATGAAGTGTGAACCTAAACATTAAAAATATGCCTTATTATGAATTGTGGGTATGCTACTCTCTCCATTCTAAATTGTTGTCACTTTGGCTTTGTATTATGTCAAACTTCTCTAACTTTGATCAAATGCACAGAAAAATACATTAATATCTATCTAGTGTATCTAATGATACTAATTTGATGTTATTGATGCCAAATTGGATTACACACTAGTAAGGGCTAGCACGTCTAAGCTCACAGTGAGTAACTCCAAGATCAGCAAGACCGGTCTATAGATCGTTTAGGTCGATTTAAAGCTCGCTCTTCATCGATAGTGCTCGAGAACACCTCTCATAAAAGACTCATCGAGGAGATACATGCTGAGGTTGCCCTAGGGTCAACAAGGCCACCTAGAACACCGCTAAATCTCATCGAGAAACATGCCAAACAGTAGGGAGCTGAAAAAATTAGGGATGAAGGTAAAAGTTGTAATTTTGAACAATTGAATGTTGGGTTTCTCAATAGGTCATGATCCTCTGATATATATAGCGGGGTGGTCTTCTCCCAACAAGAAACATATCCAGAACGCGTTTTGCATGTTTCTCACGTCAAAACATGAGCCGAAACCGAGTTGGACTCTTACCGGTCTCAAAATAACAGAAAAATTGTCCTGGCCAGTTCCATTTGTTGGGCCCGAGGAGGCCGGCTGGGAGGCTTAAAGAGAAACTGACTAGGCTATTTTCTGGCAGACTGTGCCCAAAACCTTCTTTTTATCCTCCAGGCTCCAAATGCGATATATTTTTCTCTACCGTCTAGACACCAGAAACGTCGTTACGAAGTCCTTCACATGCCACTTTTAGCTATCAACAGACATCATATATTTTGATGCATTTTCTATAAATTTGATCAAAGTTAAAGAAGGTTAATTAAAATGTTTTGAAAAGTTTTCAAAACACATTTAGATATCAATTAGAATGTTATGGAATTTTTAGATTTTTTGAGAGCTAAATCTAATTTTTGGAAGCTTCTGCTTTAGGATATTTTCAGGATTTTTTAGAAATTTAGAGATATTTTCTACGTTTTAATAGCCTTATCAAGTATTTGCTGGATTTTAACTAAAAATAGAAAATAGAAAAAACTGCTTTTGAAACTACTTCAAAATGGTCTTGAGAGTCTAGCGGAAGATATAGAGTTCGAAAGAAAAAGTGAGATTATGATGGTAGATCGATAGTTTAGGGAGTGCAACAGCATCACCATCCCAGATTGGGCTACCAATGGCGCTCACACAATGAATGACTAGGCCGCCCAACCGGTACCACGGTACACACGGCAGTAACCGTTGCCGCAGCAATGACACCGTGACTATATAGTACTATAGCTAGCCAAGGCACAGTCGCGCATCCCTCATGTCCCCTTTTATTTCATGTTCCTCTCCATCGCCAAAGATAGTTGATTCTAGAGTTCGAAAGAAAAAGTGAGATTATGATAGTAGATCGATAGTTCAGGAAGTGCAATAGCATCACCATCATAGATTGGGCTGCCGGTGGAGCTCACACAATGAATGACCAGGCCCAAGCCTAGCCTACGCAGAACACGGTAGTAACCATCGGCCGTAGCACCATTGCGACGACTATACCAGCCTAGGCGCAGCCGCGCATTCCTTGTGTCCCCTTTTCTTCCTTGTTCCTCTCCGTCACCCAAGATATCTAATTCTAGAGTTCGCAAGAAAAGGTAAGACTACGATGTTAGATCAATAGTTCAGGGAGTGCGACAACATCACCATCACAAATTGGGCTGCTGGTGGAGCTCATGCAATGAATGACCAAGCCCAAGCCCAGCCGACAGCCACGGAACATGGCAGTAACCGTCACTGTAGCACCAGCGCGGTGACTATACAGTACTATAGCCAACCTAGGCGCAACCGCGTATCCCTCGTGTCCCATTTTCTTCCTTGTTCTCTCCATCACCGAAGATATCTGATTTTGGAGTTCAAAAGAAAAAGTGAGATTACGATGTTAAATTGATAGTTCAAGGAGTGCAACAGCATCACCATCACAGATTGGCCTGCCAGTGGAGCTCACGCAATGAATGACCAGGCCCAAGCCCAGCCAACAGCCGCCAAACACTATAGTAACCGTTGTCGCCACAGCATCGACGCGGTGACAATACAGTACTATAGCCAGCCTAGGTGCAGTCACGCATCCCTCGTGTCTTCTTTTCTTCCTTGTTCCTCTCCGTCGCCGAAGATATCTGATTCTGGAGTTCGAAAGAAAAAGTGAGATTACGATGATAGATCGATAGTTCAGTGAGTGCAATAGCATCACAATCACAGAATGTGCTGCTGGTGGAGCTCACGCAATGAATGACCAGGCCCAAGCCCGGGTGACAGTCGCGGAACACGGCACTAACCGTCGTCGCAGCAACGGCGCGACGACTATACAGTACTAGCCAACCTAGGCGTAGCCGCACATCCCTCATGTCCCCTTTTCTTCCTTATTCCTCTCCATCGCCAAAGATATATGATTCTGGAATTTAAAAGAAAAAGTGAGATTACGATGGTAGATCGATAGTCAGGGAGTGCAACAATATCACCATCATAGATTGGGCTGTCGGTGGAGCTCACACAATGAATGACCGGCCCAAGCCTAGCCAACAGCTATGAAACACGGCAATAACCGTCGTCCGTAGCACCGGCATGGTGACTATACAATACTATAGGCAGCCTAGGCACAGCCGTGCATCCCTCGTTCTCCTTTTCTTCCTTGTTCCTCTCTGTCGCCGATGATATCTTATTCTGGAGTTCGAAAGAAAAAGTGAGATTACTACGGTAGATCGATACTTCAGGGAGTGCAACAGCATCACCTTCACAGATTGGGCTGCCGGTGGAGCTCCTGCAATGAATGACCAGGCTCAAGCCCAGTTGACAGCTGCGGAACATGACAATAACCTTCGCCGCAGCAACGACGCAATGACTATACAGTACTATGGCTAGCCTAGGTGCAGCCGCGCATCCCTCTTGTCCCCTTTTCTTCCTTGTTCCCTTTTGTCGTCGAAGATGTTTGATTCTAGAGTTCGAATGAAAAAGTGAGAATACGATGGTAGATCGTAGATCGATAGTTCAGGGAGTACAATGACATCACCATCATAGATTAGGCTGTCGGTGGAGCTCACACAATGAATGACCAAGCGCAAGTCCAGCCGACAGCCGTGGAACACGGTAGTAAGCATCGTCGTAGCACCGACACAACGACTATTCAGTACTGTAGTCATCCTTGGTGTAGTCGCGTATCCATCGTGTCATCTTTTCTTCCTTGTTCCTCTCCGTCACCGAATATATCTAAAGTTCAAAAGAAAAAATAAAATTACGATGATAGATGGATAGTTTAGGGAGTGCAACACCGTCACTATCTCAAATTGAGCTGCTGGTGGAGCTCACGTAATAAGTAATCATCAACTTGTTCATTTGGCTATGGCTTGTCATAAACGATCGTAAATTTCCAGACAGAACAGTAGTTTTCTTTCACGCACAGTGGTACTTCTTCGCGAACCTACAACGATACTATACAGCCAACCGCTGCATACCGAGCCCAGCCAATGGACGGTAGTAACCGTCGCCGCAGCACCGGCGTAACGACTATAGAGTACTATAGCCAGCCAGACGCAGCCGCGCATCGCTCGTGTCCCCCTTCTCTTCCTCGTTCCTCTCCGTCGCCGGTGCTCCCGTCTCCTGTCTCCCTCCCCTGCGAGCGATCGTGAGGGGGATCGGGATGGCCTCCCACCATTCCGAGCCCCTCGCCGCCGCCGCCGTCCCCCTCAGGTGCGGCACTTGCCTCTGCCTTCCCCCTCTCTCTCTTCATCCTCCTGGTGGCTCGGCTCTCCCAGTGTTGCTCTGCTCGCGGTGTAAATCGTCGCGGGTCAGGTCGCTGCGATCCTGATGCCCGGTGCTCCGTTTCGCTTTAAGTGCCCCACGATTCGCGCTTAGTGCTGCGCCCGCGCGGCGCGAGCCCCTGCGTCTGTGCTCGCAGTGCCGCATCGGCGTCCGCTGCTTTTAGGGTTCTGGGAGTTCGTTTAGTCCTTGCGTACTTGTGCTTTAGCTTCTACCTTGCTTTATTTTGTTGGAGCGTTTTGGGTCATGGTTTAATCTTAGGGTTTTAGGGCTCGTAGATGCTTTTTGATTGCGCAGCTAGCCACTTCGTGCGGGTTGCTCTAGGACTAGGATTTTTTTAGGGCGGGATTGAAGGACGACTTCATGGAGTGAATGCCGATAGGTCCAAGTGAAATACTTGTGCTCTTGAACTGCCAATAGTTCTGTACTTTGTATGCAAATAATTTGTAGATATCCTAGTGATTGTGATAATTACCTGCTGATAGGTGCTGGCTACTTCATCAGTACTCTTTTTAGCATTGATAGGGAATTAGTTGTGTAGCTGCATTGTACCAGAAATTCTGGAATAAGAGATTCTTATGATTCCATTCCCATGCACCTTACCCATTAACTAATAGTTTGGCAGTGAAATTGGCTGCATCTAGCTACCTGTGTGTTTTCTTGGTAGATTTTTTGCTCGCTAGGATCGGTTATCTTGCTCAGAACTTGAAACTGCTTTTGTCCATATAATGTCCCCTTGATTTGGGTTGCTTGTACAGATGTGCGCCATGAACTAATTTTAGTTGCTTTGGTTTGATCACTTGAGTTCTCTTGCAGATAACAACCCAGAATTACCATGCCCCCCTTATCATATCGTTACCAAACCTGGTCAACTCCCAGTTGAGTTTCTTGAACCCTCAGCTGCCCAGAAGTTGGTAATTGGATTTGACTGTGAAGGTGTTGATCTCTGTCGCAATGGTGCTCTCTGTATTATGCAGGTGAGCAAAATTAAACCTTATATCAGGCATGATGTTGTGTTATAGGATTTTGTTTCATGATTGTGACATTGCTCTGTATGTGGCAGCCATGCATTTTTTTTATAAGTGGACTAAAATGTTACTTCATTTCCTTCAATGGCCTTCATTTTTCCATGAATTGATTCTGCTAGAAATTATACTTCATTACTTTGAATTCAAGGGTCACACATTTAAATGTATCTTTTCATGCACCTAGACTTAATATGCCTACTGTTTCTTCTAACTTTTATATATACTTGTCTTGCTCTTGAGGTTGTCCTAAAGTGTCCATCTCTCTACATCTAAGATCCTGATGTGAGATACTTTTTGTTGGTTGTCTTTATATTGCAGCTTGCATTCCCTGATGCTGTTTACCTAGTTGATGCTATTGAGGGTGGAAAAGAACTTATTCAAGCTTGTAAGCCCGCACTTGAGTCTGATCATATCACCAAAGTTATTCATGATTGTAAAAGGGACAGCGAGGTGCCTAGTTATGCATTTGAGAACTTTTAGCTTGCTATGTTTTCTTTTTGTCCTTTTAGGAGATTGTAAGCTTGACTAACTAGTTTAGACTTCATCACTTTTTGCAGGCTTTGTATTTTCAGTTTGGCATCAAACTGCATAATGTGATGGATACACAGGTAATCAGCACATGTATTTACTTGCTCTATTTGAACAATTTCTACTGATATTCATAAGTGGGTTAATTTCTCTGTACTATCAATGTATGATCGTGTTCTCTTCTTCAGCACAAAGCTTTAGAACTTAGCATTATCATCAGTTAGGGACCATGTACTCTGCATAAGTACTTGTGGCGTCCCCGTTTCTAGAGTGTTCTCTGTAGTACTAGGTAGGATACTGTGGTTATTCTCCACAAGAAAGAAAGGCTTAAATTACTATTATTGTGTGCAGATCGCTTATTCTCTGATACAAGAGCAGGAGCAGGAAGGAAAAAAGAAGAGATCTGATGATTATAATTACATATCTTTTGTCAGCCTTCTTGCTGATAAACGATTCTGTGGTATGTACTATACTCTGATTCAAGCTGTATGCCTTTTCATGAATGCTACCAGACTTTTTTACATATTTTCTATGGTAGATTTATTCACTGCAATTTTCACTTTATATGGTGAAACTTAGTCCTGAAGAAAAATAAATAAATTTGTGCAGCTTTTGCTTAAGCTTGACCTATGTGCTTATGCTTTATGCCTTTATGTCATATGCAGTGGAATCTATTGCAAGTGTTTGGCCATAATTCTTGTCGACGCGATTTAGTAGTCTGGAGGCATGGTGTGCCTTACTGTATACTCAGTGCATAAATATGATTAGGATGCTTTCTATTTTTGTGTGCAGATATAACAAACCAAGATGGTGTTTTTATTTGATTGTTGTATTTTTTTAATCAAATTTCAAATATAGCATAATTCAGGCATCATGTGCTTTCAATCCTATGTTAGCTGTATTAAATCTTGTGTTTGGGGATACCAAGTACCAACCTGCCGAAGTAGCCCTACTGGGACCTTTGACGGAAGGTCGAAGAAACCATCTTGAGTGCGAGGCGAAGCTGTGTGACTGTGTCAAGGCTTCACACACAATTCCAACAGCTCAGTTAGTCCCACATCATTACAACAAGCCATCTAGGACTGGTAGAACCCAGTAACGGTGCAGCTATGGTGAATCCCAAAGTCCTAGACCAACACATACGAAGTGAAAGCCAGAAAACTAGCCCATTGGCCCCTGTAGGAACCACTTGTCCTCCATTGCTGCAAGTTCCTATCATCAACTCTTGTAAATTCTTGTGTGTTGCAACCATTGCCACCATCCCTCTTCACTGTTGTCCAGGCCTTGCTGCTGGCAGCCATCATCGTCAACTATTGTCAACTTATTAGTCTTCAATATCCTTCCATCGCGTCCTACTTCACTGAGCCTTCTCCCTTCCTCTCCATCCTCTTTTTCCCTGCACTGTTCTAGATCTAGATCTAGTAGCAGCAGAGTAGCAGCAACGGGCAACATAATGTGGTAGATGTAGATTATGCTAAGTTGCAGCAGGTGGTAGTGCAATAGTGCTCTTTTGGTTATGAGCTCTTCGGTTTTAACTACTCCCTCTGTTCGAAAAATATTCGTCATTTTAGTTGTCCTAACTCCTAAGTCAAATTTCTCTAACTTTGACCAAGTTTATAGAAAAATATATTAGCATCCACGATACAAAAAAAATTGCACTATCAAGACATATTTCATGGTGGATATAATCATGGTTTCAAAGGCAGCATTGCCTAGGCGACAAGGTGGTACACCTGGATGCCTAGGCGACGCCTTTGAAATAGAGGATATAACTAAACTAATTTGATGATGTAGATTTTGGTGTATTTTTCTATGAATTTGGTCAAACTTAGAAAAGTTTGACTAAGGACAAAACTAAAATGACCTATACTTTGGAACGGAGGGAGTAGCAAGTAGTATCTCATGGTCGCGGCAAGTTTCCAAGTCGTCACAATAATCACTCAGTGCATGGCATGGAGACTTAACCATGATTATCACTTATCAGCCTGTGAGTAACCTATGGTTGATCTTTATCTGCTTGTTTCAGCAAAGTGATAGTGCTGATATCTTTGTTGAGCCAAAATTCTTTATTACCTAATTGCACAGGTGCATGCAGCCCAGCTAGATGCCTATGATATTGGTTCCATCATTCATATTTTTAACAAAACACGTGCTGTTACTGTCAAACATCATATCTGTTAATCCTGCTCCCTATGCACTGTGTATTCTCGTTTTGGTGTATTATGTGGTGCATTGCATTCCTCATTATTTTATGTTTTTTTGTTTGATTGTCCATATGGTGTGATACTGTGGTACTGCTTTATGTAGGCATACAATATCCTGAAAAGGAAGAAGTCCGTACCCTTCTAAGGCAGGTCAGCAACCTGCTATTTAGAACATCCTTGTGGATATGAAATGTTGTGTTTAGTTTCTATGATAACGTCTTGCCGTTAGCTGTTCTGTTGTTTTGATAGCATATCTTCCTGAGGAAAGCTGAAAAATAATATTAATTGATGGATTTCAGGACCCTAACTTTTGGACAATTAGGCCCTTGTCTGATATGATGGTTCGAGCTGCCACAGATGATGTCCGCTTCCTTCTCAATATCTATGAGAAAATGATGGAAAAGTTAAGCAAAGTATCTTTATGGCGTCTGGCAGTTCGCAGTGAGCTGTACTGTAGGTGCTTTTGCTTAAATGACAACCAGTTTGCAGATTGGTCACCTCTTCCTCCTGTCCCTGGTCAGTACATATAAGATTTTCTACCCTTCTGTTTGAAATTAAGGAGCTGCCACATACTAAATCAATTTTACCTTTTGTTTCGAGTCTTTCAGAAAATGTGAAATGTATGGCTTTTTTTTTCGCGAACACGCAGACTTGCGTGTTTTTCATTAAGAGGGGTGTGAAATGTATGGCTGCTATTGTAATATGGGTTTACTGCTTCTTGTGTTTAGTAATATACATGACACTGACAGCAAATAGCTGCAGCAAAGGCAGCAGGCTGCTGGATCAAATCACATTTTCATGGGTTGGCAAAACTGGTTTTGAACAGCCATAGTTGACATTGTAGGCCCAGAGTTTTGTAAATCTTGTAACTTTTGACAGCCTAGTTTGGTCCTAGATATGATCCTCACGATCATGGCACGGTACATTGCATCTGTTAGTTCTTTGACCAAAGAGTTTCAATTTTATCAGTATGTTGACATTGCAGAGCGTTTGCGCTGATTGATGTTTCATGTTTGTGATAGATGACATTGAAGCTGATGTTTATGTTCCTGAAGCTGATATCCTGTCAGTCTTAGATGTGCCTTCTGGGAAAATGGGACGAGTTATTGGCAGAAAGGGGTCAACGATAATGGCTGTGAAAGAATCTTGCAAGTAAACATCTTGAGTCTGATTTCGTAAACATCCCATCCTCTGTGCTGTTAAACTAAATTAATCCTCTCTGTTTTTTGGTTCTTTTGGGCAGTGTTGAAATCCATATCGGTGGTGCTAAGGGGCCTCCAGACAGGGTATGTTTCCCACAGCCTTGTTTGTGAGAAATAATCTATTCATAGTGGACAGTCATGCTGGGCTTTGCTAAATTGTTGATCCAGCCTTGTTTGAATAATGAATTGGTGGGCTCTGCACAAATATTTCTTTTTTTCCCTTTTGTTTTGCCCTATGGAGAATAGGGTTTTAGACTTTTAGTTCTTCAATCTTTGTTTTCAATGTCAGTCTGCCTATCATGGCAGACTTTTAATTTCTCATATGCCACTTGGTCTATCGTTAGTCCTGGATGTATCCCGTGCCTGTCTTTGTCTATGGCAAGTATTCCTGAATCCACATGTCATAGAATGTTGATGGCATGTTAGGGATCGAGGTATATTTGTGATCACTGTTGACAGATGTGTGTGTGTGTGTATATATATATATATATAGGGAAATTATTTTCTACTCCGAGGGAGTAGTTACTCCCATGTGTATATCTCTAGATTTAGGGAGTATATGGCCCGACGAAGTGTACGTAGATGGAGTATATCATCATACTAGACCATCTAGGGTAATATGTATGAGAAGTATGTATGTATACTTATTTTATATGCTACTATCATAGTATTATATAATATATTAAAAAGCATGTACTCTTTTGAAAAAAATTTCACATAGTAAAGATCTGGAATATCTTAATATTAGTATGTCAACGTACTCAAACTGATAAATGAGTATGTACACATACGCAACGTGATTTATTGATTATTGGAGTAACAACTCCCGGGTATATATATATATATATATATATATATATATATATATATATATATTGGATGAGGTGCACTATACCACAGTAGGCTGACATGGAGAGTTTATTTGGGGATTCAGATGAAAAATTGTCTATCTCATTTGCACGTGATACAAACCTCTAAATGTCTCGATCATTGCCTTGAATCATTTCCAGCTGTATGCACTCACTAGCCAACAACTGCTTGAAACCAACTGTTGTTTAGTGTTATTGTAAGATTATGATATCACACTAGGAGGTTCTTCCTAACTACATAGATATTGAATAGTAGTTAATAATACATATAAGCACGAATCGTTGTGCAGCAACTGATCTGAATGAACATATTTCAGTTTTGTTACTGATCCTGTTTTTATCTGTGTGCAAAATGTAGGTGTTCATCATTGGACCAGTGAAGGAAGTCAGGAAAGCGGAGGCCATCTTCAGAGGCCGAATGCTGGAGTTCTAGAGATGTTACCCTTTGTGACCCATGTTTCAACTGCATTATATCTTTTGAACTCAAAAAGGGGAAATATACAAAAGGTGTGTGCGGTACCGTGGATCCCTTGACCATCCGTGAATCATGAAAACAAAAAATAAAGGATTTCAACTTGGCCCATGTCAGTGTTGTGCTTGCTCTCTCAACTTCTCGTCATCTGGTTACACTCTCGTTTCTGGCCTGTCAGGATGCGGAAGCATGTTTTAGATGGTGTCTTCTTAAGCCGCCTCCACCTGTGCACTAAACATGGTAACGATCGTTGTAATTGCGGCGCATTGATTAGGTCACCTGGTCCTCCGGCCGCTAAAGAACGGTGACCACCAAAAGAAGGAACTGGAGCCGGAGCGGCGGAGCCTGCTGTCCACCACTGTTAGGTCAGTTGCGGAAGATCGGCTCGGAGATCTTGCTTTGAATGCGCGATGGCAACGCGAGGGCCGGGAACAAAACTAGCTATAGCTATGCTTTGCCTGGATATCCGGCTAAAGGTCATTGAAGGCGGTGGGGAGCCCCACCCCCACGGGAGAGCGGAGATCGGAGATACATCAACTCAACTAGACGCAGAGGCAGAGGCCAAAAATTTTGGACTCGGCAACAAACCGGAAGGACCAGGACCAGGCACCGGCGCACCGGCACGGAGGATGATGGGTACGTGACGTCCCAGGAGGACCACCTCGTGTTTCACTGTTCCTCTCCTCGTGCGATACACTACACCGCTGTCCAATGTATACTTGTTACCAATTCTTGTTTTCGCCAACTCCCATCTCCTCTCAAACTCTTGTTTTCGCCATCATCACCTTGTTGTTATTGGTTCTTCCTTCTCTCATGCCTCGCTCTTAAGCGCCCGCGTGTTTGTTTTTCAGAGTCGGGAGGTTTCGAGCATCGCACAGGCAGCGTCCGCCGTCACAGGGACACAGCACAGTGGAGTAGGAGTGTCAGATTGTTTGTGGAGACTGAGGATTGGCGACTGCTGTCGGAATATCCACACGAGACTAGACGCAACTCCGGCCTGGAGATGGGCAATTTCAGCGTTGGTACTAGGATGAACAAGTCCGACGCGACGCGGTTTCACTCTCACAACGGCGGGCGAAGCAGAAGCTGCGGCGGAGGCCGGTTAGCCGATCGGGATCCGTCGCCTGGGCCCACCCCCACGCGCGACGGCGACGGCGGCGTCCGATCCGACGTGTGATATGGCACCACCGGACCAAGCGGACCGCGACGGCCGCGCTTGCCGCCGAGGGCTCACCAGGGCTGGGTGGGCCCCCATCTCCCCCACGAGGCCACGAGGACTCGTGGGCCGCCCGCATAACTCGCATACGGCCAATGGACCGACGCCGATGGCCGGCCGGGTGGTCCAAAATCCAAATGCTCGGCGGAGGCCCGCCGCTCTGATCCGACTCCATCGGCAGGAAAGGGATGGCTACGTGTTGCCAGTTGAGAGCCGTTGCGTGTCGGTGATGGTTTCACTAGTTCTATTGTCATTGCAGTCTGTGTTTGTCAAACAGACTTATGCAAAATTCTATAGATCAAGCACAGAATAGTACGTTGCACGTCATTCAGAACAAGCCATAATCATCAAGCTAGGACGTACGAACACCTCACCAAATACGGTTTCGCTTGCTACAGCATACGTTCTAACCATTCATGCGTGTGTCGCATGACATCACGAAACAACACACATGAGAAAAATGTGCCTGACAAGCCCATACGTATACTGTGCAAAAACATAGGAATTTTTTAATATAGAATACATACGGAGATGCAGTTGTCCAGGGAAAGAGTTGACTGTTTTTTTGTGAAAACATATTTATTTGTAACTTCTTTCGCTCCAAAATATAAGGTCATTATAAAAGTATTTTATAAGACTATTTTAATTTTCATATAGATTGACATTACTACATTTATTTATCATAAAATAACTTTACAATATTTAACTTGTTTCCTTTAAGGAAATACTCCGTCTAGTCGCCATTAGGACAACTTGCACTGGCTTGCTTGTCCGAACGCCATGTAGTAATGAGCTAGTAAAATGACTAAAGGACTATATTTATCGGATATTGCTAGTTAAAGTTTTCTTTTTTAATTTAGGATATTAGATGGACTTATTATATTTTCCAAAGAGGTAGTTTAATTAGGGGCACACTTTCGGTCAAAAAAGAGAAAAAAAATAGGGCACACTACAAAGCTACTCTCTCCGTCTAAAAAAGATGCACATCTCATTTTTCTAGGAGTAATTAGTTTCAAGTTTGACTAGATTTAGAAATTGTATATCAATATTTGTATCACTGAATAGGTTTACAAGAAAAATATATTACATGATTAATCTAAGAATATTCATTCAATATCTTAAATATTAGTGCTTTTTATATATTTGAGTTTGGTTAATTTAACGAAAATAAAATGAAATGTGCACTCTTTTTTGGACGGATAGAGGGCATGTAAAAGCGCCCTCAATTATTTTTGACGGTGACAGGTTAATTAGACCTATCTAATATCATTATGTGGGAAAGTTAAGTAAATGTATTTTCTTTTCTATTGCATCCCTGCTATCCAGGATCGAAAAGTTTGGATAAGAAATCTAGCTTGGTTTGAAATTGACGCAGATCACTAGTAATTCTCTGCCAATAATGTTTATATTGACCGACAGCCTCACTGCACAACCGTGCAAATTGTTATCTATCCCACTACTTATTAGTACCCGCTAATTAACTTAGAGCACTTGTGTTCAACATTGGAGGTTTATGCTGTATAACGGTATCTCTCTGTTTACCGGATAACGGAGTTGCAAAGCCAAAACAGGGATCAGGATATATGGCATCAAGAGACATGTTTGTGCTTATCCATCCTCACTTTAGATTTTAGAACGGGATGTGACACTTCTCTAGGCCACCTACATTATTTATGTAAGAAATATCAGGAGGTACAGGCAGGCAAGCAGGGTCCCCAAGCATGCCCAAGGGACTCCAGAAAAGTATAATAGGTGGGTCCCCGGCAGATCATGTGCTCTCTAAACATGCACCTGGTGTAGTAGTGTAGACCACATTGTTCCGCGGGTCGCTTGATCTCTAAATGGATTTGAGTTCTTCACACATGGAAAACGTTCAGCTTGATCTTTACGTTCCTAGAACCGCAGTTTCTATGTACTGGACTCAGTTTCCAACGTCGGGGAAAAAAACCAGTCCTATCCGATTCATTTCAAAATTTAGTTTCTGACAAAATTATCCAAATGCTTGGTGTCACAAAAAAGAAGTGCGTGTGAGATCTCTTCATTGAGAGGTCAGGAGAAGATCCACGGCGTAGATCAATGTGAGTTCAATTGAGGTCGATTTTAGGTGTGAATAATAATGTAAAATAACATTACATGACTGTTACCAGCTCATAATAACTCTTCAACATTCACCTAGTCGTTCAACATATAAACCAGCAACAAATTGTTACCGGTTCCTAGTACCGCATCTTTTATGTTTTCTTTACACATTCAGTACATGACATCCCTTTTGATTAGGATCTCTAAAACAAAGTAAAGGGTCCACTTATAGGAAAACCTAACCTTTCCCTGGATTAGGCACTAATATATTTTTAACTTCTGACTAGAACTGGTAATCCTTCAAATTAACCAATTAAGATACCGTCTCAACATGTATACATGTTTGTGTTCCCCCAAACATATGCATCATTTATTATGGACCAAATAACTTGTACTCCACCCATGTTCCTAAAGGAAGTCGTTTTGGATATCGATACGACCTCCAAAAGCAACTTTGATGCTACTTGTTGCTATAAAATATTTATAAAATAGGCTACTGCTCCGGTACTCCCTCTTTTGAAAATTAACACGAATCTCGAAACAACCTATAAAATATAGTCAATATATATAAAACTATATTTCAAGATGAATCTCCTTATATCACTTTCATATTTTCAAACTCAATCCAAAATAATTTATTTGTAGCCAAAATAATTTTTTTTCTTAGGTTAATTGATTTATAAAAATTCAAAAAAATAATGGGCTCAGATTTAGTTGAGGTAGTACCTTCTAGTAAGTAAAGGGAGTATCGTAACATTGCCAAAAAAAATGATTTGATTTTTGCTACTAGGGAATCCATTATGAGAGCTAGCTTCTGTACACGAAACTGTGAAAAGAAAAGAAAATACGACACCTATTTATTTATACATATATATATATATATATATCTCGGTATAAGTATTAGTTCTAGAATAGTATTTTTGACAGTATTCGGACGGACGCACACACCACGCATATAGCATACTTTGAACGGAATTTTACGATAGTGATTGCAACAAGGCAGACTAGTAGAGATCACTTAAAATACTCGCGCAGTTGTAAAATAGTGGGGAAAACATTTTATACTCTCCCTTTTCAACGACAACTGCACTTGCACTCCACCCAGCTCTTGTCTCTTTGCCTGCGGCGCACACAGACAATTATTTCTTTCTTCTCCGGCGTCCAAGGCTGCGCCACACAAACTCTCCATGGCAACATGCTCCAAACTTGTCGTCTACTACTCACAAGCATATATACATATGCCCCTACTTACTGTGTGCATTTTGTACATATATATATAAAAAAAATGTGCGCCTCTACAATGCAAATCTCACTCTTGGGTCTTTCTCGTTGGTGTATGCACATGTACTGCTGTCTTCAGACTAGCTAGCAGCTGTATAGCTGCAGTTAGTTATTAGACGTCCAGTTACTTACTAACCACTGACCATGACACTGTTTGGATCATATGAGGCGTTAGGCGGCTCCAATGAAAGCAGTGCAGCAGCCTATTTGTGCATTGTTGTTTTCTCTCTCGTCGTCACGTTCGTTCCCTGGCTGGAGAGCTAGCAAACATTGCAACAATGTGATAAATGGCCAAGGCAACATTGTCCTATCCTTCTTGTCTAATTCTCCATTGACTGTTTCCTTTGTTTCCTCAATTAATCACATGTCCGCCTGGCATTTTATT